CGACATTCTATATAAATATAGCTTTTTCAATTTGCAATACGAGCAAAAACCGATGGCATTACCTCATTAAGAATGCTTGATGTTGGTCTGATACTTTCGATGTATCGAGTGCATGTTTGATGCATATCCTCTTTGGCTATAACCATATCGCGTTCCACAAATGGATCATCTTCACGTCTTTTACTCATGGCAAGAAATATTTCTTTTATGCGTCTCAGCCACATGTAGGTGATTGACGCTTCTGTCAAATCGTTAATAGACGTTTTTGTACCATCAAATATTTTCAATGGTAAACAATCTTTTCCATGGTAATTCTCTTCATTGTCATTTTCGATGCTATTCCACTGGTTATCCATGTCTTTACGTTGTTCACTAAATTGTTTAACTTATAGAAAACAAAATTATATTTGTCTTACTTTGATGTTGGCAAATGTTGTTTCTGTCAACAATGACTATTGAAACCTAGTGGAGGTGGTACGAACGGCTATTCACACCTCCAGCATTTAGCGACCGAACGAAGACTTGCCATCGAACGGGTGACAAGAAAAGCTATTGACACCTAAAAGAGGTACCAGCAAGAGCTACTGACACCACCAGGCTTAGAGGTGGCAAGAAGACACTCTGAATCAGTTGCTCTAAATTTCGTCTCGTACTATCCAACACACGTCGGATAGTGTCAATAGCTCTATCAACCACCTCTAACCAGGGAACCTCCCGAGGTGATAAATCGCTTTTTGATCGGAAAACCTGTTTTTCAGAAACTTAGTTATAGAATTTACAAGTAAAGTCCTAAATTAATTTTCTGCTCCTTACTTCTGTAGCTTTTGAGCTGATAATGGACATACACGGCTCTTCTTGTAAATTCTATAACGTTGCAAAAACAGATTGTGTAGAGCTGGGCGATGTCTCATTTTAATCAGAAATTTGCTCGCTACAATTATGCCTCGTTAAGAAAGATTTTGGTGATTTTTAGAGTTTCTGAAAGACAGATTTTCCAGAAGACCGGATCTTCGAAGAGCTATGTGGAAGCCCCATGATCATATTCGGAATCGGCATGTTCGATAACCTATAACCCACTATTTGAGAAAAATTTTGTCGCAATTTTATGCGAGAACAAAATCCATTATTTATTCGAAAATAAACGCAGAAAACTCTTTTCAGAAGAACGTTTGATACACAAACGATAAAAAGATGCGCTTTTCGCCAGCATATAGACGACACTACGGGAAATCTATTGGAAAAAAAGGTCCAAAAGCCTGTTTGCAGGTGGCATACCTGATGGATCTTCTGTAGTCAGCATTTCCTGAATTTCCATAGCAACCTATAGTTTAAAAAGACGCAGAACGTACACTGACATCTATTCTCCACATCCAAACAAGTCCGAGACATTCATCTACCATCGTTGGAGCGTGGCAGAATTTCTCTGAACGCACCCCTTGATGTCTGGGAATCTCGGAAGTGAATTGCGCCTGAGTTTTCGACTATTCTAAATCTCGGGGCAATGTTGGTTTTTAGAATAACTTCAAAAGCCTGCTGGAAACCGATACTATGTTAAATAATGCATTTTTCATTATTTTCACTGTAAATTGAAAAATTCATACTTCACTCGAAATCGAAAGTATCAGACCAACATCAAGCATTCTTAATGAGGTAATGCCATCGGTTTTTGCTCGTATTGCAAATTGAAAAAGCTATATTTATATAGAATGTCGCATCACAAGATGCCGATGAATGTAGTGTCCAAAAAATACAAGGACAAATAAAAAAGCTCTCTGAAGCTATTAATAAAGCCACACAAGATTCGTCGACTGGTGTTGATGTGAAAAATGAAATTAAGGATAATATTTCAAGCTTACAAAATACAATTGAAAAATTCAAAATAATGATCGATAATCTTTCATCTAACGTTGATCAAAAGAACACCACAAAGTTGCAAACAATTGTTCAAAAATTGGAGAAAAAAAGTCAAAAAACAAGTTTAGAATTGAGACAAGACTGGAGTTTACAAAAGCTATACGCCGAATTGTTCAAAATGTCTTATTCAAGAAGTCTGACATCTCTAGAGGTAATAACAATTATCAACTCAACTTAGTTTAAAGTTTTATTAGAAAAAAAATGACCAAATCGGGACATATCCATTGCACGGTACAGTGGAGAAGAGAAAAAGAATATGGCAGGATTCATGAGATGATTGAATATGATGAAAAAGAGAAAGGACAGAAAAAAAAGCAAAGAAGAGAGCGAGTTTCTAATAGGCCTACCAACAGTTTCTTTGTTGAAATATAGTCAACAGAGGCGTTCAATCGACGTTCAATGTTAAGAGTAGAGCTAGCTGAGTCCCTAAGCTAATTCCACTAGGTATAGCCTAAGACTGTCGGACGAGGCATAGTGTTTTCATTATAAGTTAAGAACGTTACATTACACTTTAACATATCAATACCTAGTAGCCGCCTCTTCGGGCACAAAAATATAAATACTAATTGAGAGTTTATTTTCAAAACTGTGTAATCCACAACATTTTCAATGCCATATAAGCAGACATCATCAGTAAATAATTAGCATAAACACTGAAAGTAGTCCGGAAGATCATCAACAAAAATAAAGGGAATAATATAGAACGTAATATCTATTTTAAAATCGACTAGTTCAGATTTATTTTTAGGAACAACTTCGCCCAGAGAAACGTGGTGATGAAGAGCCAAATTTTCGTAATGCTATATGGTGGTATTCATGTGACAAAGCGTCAATTTACTATCAAATAAACAGCATATTACGACTGGAGAATTTTGAATTACTCATGTCATATCGGTACTATTTGAGTGATTTATGTAGAATGATCGAGACGATATTCAATAATACAAAGAAAACAAATCAAAAAGGCACTACGTTGTATCGTGCTGATAAAATAAATAAATTAAGTTTCTAAAAAATAAAACAGAAACAAAAAGGTCAATTGATCACCATGAACGGTTTTGTATCTACAACGACAGACATCGGTATCGCCGAAGGTTATGCAAGAAATCAATTTGTGCCACCAGGTGCTGTTTCAGTGTTATTCGAAATCAAATATAATCCGAAAAAACAATGTACAGCGTTTGCTGATATAGAAAACATATCTTTCCATCCAGAGGAGAAAGAAGCACTGTTCAGTATGGGTTCAGCATTTGCCATCGATAGAATCGATGCGCCATTGCCAAGCGAAAGTTTTTATCGAATTAAACTGACAGCAAGCGATCTTGATAAAACAATTGTCAACGATATGAAATCGAAGGTTGAACAGTCAAGTGCATCTGGTCTATCAATGTTACTCGCCCGCTATCTGATTGAACTGGGCGAATATCGTGCAGTTAAAAAGTATTTAAACTCTCTATTAAACTGCGATATACTAATGGATGATCCATCAATTGCATCTGCTTTCAATTGTATGGGCATGATTTATTCTCGACAAGGATTGTACGCTGATGCTCTCAAATATTTTAAACAAGCGTTAAATCATCAAACACGACTCGAATATTCGAATAATAACGCCCTTGCTGAAATTCACAATAATATTGGTGAAGCTTACGTGAATCTGTCGTACTTTGATGAAGCACTCGAAGTATTCAAAGAAGCGAAACAGACACAAATGCGCGAGCCACTGTCAACTCGACAACATTTAGCATCAATTCATTCTAATATTGGCTATGCTTATTACAAGAAAAAAGACTATGATAGTGCAGAAAAATCTTTCACAACAGCTAATGATCTATATTCAAGTAAAACCTCTCGCAAATTAGCATATGATGCACTCGAGCAACGTTTGATGGAAGCTAATTTGAATTTAAAATATGGAAATTTGTTGAGCGTTAAACGACAGTTTGAAAAAGCAGACGAACAGTATGATAAGGCAATCAAAACGTATCAAACATTATTGACCGAAACTGATCCAAAACTAATGAAAGCACACACAGACTGCATTGTCGAATATGCAAGAACTCGGGCATATAATAAAGTAATCGAAAAATACGAGAATGGGCTTAGCGATCTACTTCAAAAATACGAATCAAAAGCGTTTGAGGTAACCACAACAACAGATTTAAAAATTTTGAACAATCTTTATTATCTAATTGGTGCTTGTTACGCTGCTACGGAACAATATGACAAGGCTATTCAATCATGGAAAAGTGGTTACATTTGTAAACGAAAAAATCATATCGATCAACTTCTGCGAGCAACGTCCGACGACGACGTTAATGATGAAGACTTGAGTGATCTATTATACTTTATACACAAATCATTTCGCAAAGTATCCGAGAACTGGACACAAGACAATGGGCTGGTTTATTTTTTCTCAAAGCAATACGAGAAGGCAAAAATTGAACTCGAACAAACCAAAAACAGTGATAAGATTGATCTACTTCTACTAGCTGATCTTTATACTCAGTTAAATTTACATAATTTAGCTATTGAGAATTATGAAAATGCTCTGTCGAAGATGAATGTAACTAAAACTGATCCAATTGTCACAGAAATATATTTATCAATGGCGCAATCAGAAACGGGCCTCGAAAAACTGCAAGAAAACGAAAAGCATTTTAGAATAAAAGAATCAGACAATAGAACGGTTAGTATGAAAGTGGTTATCAACGATCAATTGGCTAAATGCTATCTAGAAAAAGCGAATAGAGATGTTGCTCTGCAGATTTTATATGCGAAAGCACGTGCAATTGCCGAACATTCTATCGCTTTAAAATCTCAAAATTTCTCACAATATCATCCAAGTATAGCAACTAATTACAGCTTAATCGCTGAGACATACTTGGGAGAAAATAATTACAAACAAGCCATTGAAATGTACCAAAAAGCGATTGAAATTCAACAGTTAAATTTACCAATGGATCATCGAGATATAAAACAAAGTTATTTCAAAATGGGCAATACATTTTGTAAGATGTACAAACTAAATGATGCTGTTGAGAAATATCAATTTGCCATCGAAGACGGCGCCTCTTCATTATTAAACGCAATAATGTATAGTACAAAAGCAGAGTTGCTTGCTGAACAAAAAGACTATTTGTCAGCTGCTGATGAAGAAATGAAATCTTGTGCCATTTTAGAAGAACAGTTACCAAAAGATTTGGTCGGCATTGCCGAAGCGACATTTATGGATACATCGCTGGATGATCTGAAAAGCTTGATAAACAACAGAGTGCAGCTATCCGATATTCGTTCATTTGCAACATTTCTTGCCGATTTATCATACATTTATCTTAAAGAAGGCTACATAAAATTCAAGCAAGCGTCAGATGAATGTCAAGCGATGTATCAAGAAGCGCTCAATTTACAATTGAAAATAATATTATTTCAAAATTCAGATGAAGATGTGACGACAAAAATCTATCAGACACTCGGGTTTGTTAATGCTACAAATGATATCAACGACGAAGCACTACTTAACTACTTTCACGCTATGGATAATGATAGCAATTATGTAATCCATTGGAAATTAGTTAATCTCTACGAAGAAGAGGAAAGGTATTCAATGGCACTTAGTCACTGTAAGCATCTTCTCAGATGTACCGAGACGATACAAGATACACAAAATGTGATAAAGGATAAAATCGAATTTTTGACAAACAAAGTAGAAGCAGAGGACTATGATGAAGAAGAAACTTTTGACGAAGATAGAGAATCTTCAGATGGAGAAAGTGTTGCGAGCGCAGACTCACTAGCAAAAGACACGCATTCTATCAATTCTAACGATCGATTTTTATCACCAAATTCATCACTTGCCAATACCTATTACCTTTTGCAAGACTACCCAAGAGCACTGGACTACTATCAGAAAGATATCAAACATCGAACGAAAAAGCTCTCTCAGAAACCACTGCTGATCAAATGTAAAGTTGATTCAGATAATATGTGGTTATTTTTAATTGAATTATTCACAAAACAGATTTCACAAATTAAGCAATCAAAGCGAATTGATTCGCATGAAAGCATGACTTATGAATTTCTAGGTGATTTATATACTAGGTGTGCTGAAATAGCTGTCAAAATAACCAGTTATTCTGATGCTGTTTATAGTTATGCAAACGCTTTACAACTATACACTAACTATTACTTTGAACAGAACTCAAAATCTGTTTCAATATTTGATAAATTATCTCGTAAAGGAGTTCTGTCTGTCACCGATATAACAAACTTTTATGAGATTATCCCTGATGTCAATAGAGAATATAAAACATGGATTAAACTGAAAATGATCTTGTTAGAGCATGAACTAGCCAAAGATAATGATGAATTTGAACATATAATCCAAATGTGTTTCACTTGTAAACAAGATCTGGACTTGTCAGGTCATTCAGATCTGATGATCGATGCTACACTTAATTATGTTATACTTAAAATTTGTAAGGAAAAATATGGTTATGATGATGGCATGAAGATTATTAAAAAACTGAAAATAGATGAACAAAATCTCCCTATATATGATGTTATTGTACTTTATCGGTTGATGGTCGACTTTATTGTTGAGCTTATCAACAAAAATTATGATGATATCGATGAGGAAGAAGCGGAGCAAGATGAAGATGAAGGCGGCAACGATGAAGATGAAGGTGGCAACGATGAAGATGAAGGTGGCAACGATGAAGATCTCAAAACAGTAGAGAAATACAAACAATTGTTGTTTCAACAAATATCAAAAGCGGTCACACCGGTTCATACTAAAGACAGTAGGATGTTTCAAACATTCTTAGTGGATGATAACACTGATGCTACAAGCGTGTTTTTGTGTATTGGTGATATTTTAACAAATATTGGTGCTTACAATTTAGCTGCTGCCTATTGGGAAAATATTCGATGGGAGAAAGAGCAGATGCTATCCACGCCCATTTTGAACATAATTCTTTCAAAACAATCAAATGTGGCACTGATTTATAATGAAATGAAACGAATGGAAACAGATTTGGCCAGGTGCCTAACTTCGATTGCACAAAGCTACGATAAATACGGTGGATTCTCGGAGAAGTATGGCGATGAGTTGTGCCGAAACCAGAGTGGACAAGAAGATGACACTGAAGTTGTAGGATGGTATACAACTGCTAAAGCCATGTTTGATATAGCAGACTCTCTCTATAAAAAACTGGGAATAAACGTTAATGAATCTCACCGCAACTTACTAGAGAAAAAAATTATGGCAAGAGCCGAATTGATAGTTGCTGAAAATAATTCAGAACAACTTGAAATTTTTTAAACTCAAGAAATCTTATTAGTTAATAAGATACAATATTTATGAAATCATAAGTTTTATTGTATTTTTAACAAAAATAAATATCTGGAGTATTCTATGCGAATCACTATGCACGTAACCAATATCAAGTTGCATCCTCTTAAGATTCTTTTTCGAAATTTGTAGTTAAACTAATAGGTGACTCAATTGGGAGACATCTCTCTCGAGAAGCTGTAGTCATATATAGCACCATTAGCCTATATTCTTCTGCATCTGTCAAAATAGTTTAAATGTTACATCTAGAGATATTTTATTATTTGGTTATCGATCAAACGCGTTATTCTGCTCATTTTATGTAATACAGTCGAAAACATCAACTTTTCTGTTCTTGCAAAAATATTGGGAATTTATTTTGAAATCATAATGTTAAGGGGAGCTAATCTCCCTCCTCGGTTTCATATATATTGTAGATTCGTATGAATCATTTTTGCACCTACTGTACATATAAGAGACAATACTTATAAATATGTGTGCGTATACAAGCTCAAGTCTTTTCTTCAATCGATACTTCAGTTTGTCCTCGATCATTCGCATAGTCAGCTGTCTATATGTACAGCACTATTAGCAAAAGCCATCGCTTGCCTTACATTACTACCAAGATGAACAGAAGGTATTAATTAAGATAATCGTTTCAAAACAACGACTAAATCATTGTAATTTTCTTTCGCAAAAGTAATCAGATACTCAAGGATAACTATAAATAAAATCTTCGTTACGTTCAAAAGAAACAGTTGGGCTTAGGTTCTCGCTAAAGGTGAAGCACAAGCACACTTTAACGAACTGCTACGTGACTTTTATGCAATGTCGAAGGAGTTACCATTTGTCAGCCACTCGTTCTCGAGTTATAGGTCATGCCTCAATCAGTGGCTTTATGTTGAAATAGCAATGAGTCTTCGGAGCTCATCGGTGAACCATAACTTGCCGCTTTTGCATATCCTAATGGTTTTGTTGGGTACTTGACAACATCCAAAATGACATCCGTAAGGCACTCCACTCTCTCGTCCATACTATTCATGTTTTTTAGTAGTGCCCGCCATGGTACTAGACTTAAGTTATTCCTAAAGATACTCCAGTTTGCTACTTCATAGTTATATATAAGTCTTGTGCTCGTCTTATTCTTTCTGGATTTTGTCAACAGGCGGAAAGCTATTGCAGAATGATCACAAGTTGTCGTAATGTTCTGTACAACCGCAACATGTCTAAGCCTACTAACTATGAGGTGATCTAAAAGTGTGTTTGAACTTATCCGAGTCGGCTTATCAATTAACTGGAAAAAGCCAGAATTACTTACAAAATTTCTTAAAGAACTTTCAACTGTTGTAGGTTTTGTAGGCACACTACACCACTCAGCACAATGTGCATTGAGATCAGCGGTGATAATAATTGAGTCAAAGTTTTGTTTTCTGGAAGCGAGTATCGAGAGCATTTTTTTAATGTTAGCTAGAAACTCATCAATATCGCAATAATCAGGGCGATAACAGGGTATAAGAAGAAAACGCTGTTTGGCCGATATTGTCAAAGCAAAAAACATACACTCAAAGCTATCATTTTCAAACTGGTCAAGACGCTTTACGTTTATGTCCGTGCGTGCATAAAGCATGCAGCCACCTCCGTGTCTGTTTCTGTCCTTGCGAAAGGGCGGGTGATAGTTGGAAAGTGTTAATCTGTTAAAGTGAATTGCGGGAGATAACCAAGTTTCCACTATTCCTATTATGGCCGGATTCGATAAAGATGTATAAGCCTTGAGAGCATCAAACTTACTGAAAGATGGTAAAAGTTGTGAGTTTGAAGTGACACTTTGTAGATTAGTTATTGGGGCTAAGCCAGCCAACAGACTACGGACGTTGTGTACAGAGATATCCAAAGTACTGTGCATTTCTAAACAATGTACGTTAGTTGACATCATTGATAAAAGACGAAAAGGAAGGCGTACTCCCCGCCACATAGATCACCATGATCGTACAAAATTCAACTACTCTGGACGAAAGAAGAGGAAGAAAGAGATGAAGGACACGAGAGAAAAACATGCATACACTGATGTCGTAGGAGCCATGCTTTTCATAGAAGTAAAAAAAACAGAAAAAAGAAAGTAATGCGGTCGATCGAGAAGCATAGTTGTGACTTCTCCCACACATCTACGCTAGTACAAAAACACAAGAGTACAAACTAAATCTTCTCACGTGTCATAGTCAATAGAAAAGTCTATCTTGAGTATAGCAATACTGGCAACTTTAGGGGATTGTTTTTAAATTTTCATCTGTTTTTCATTGATTTTCCCATTTCTTGTGAAAACGTTCTTTGAACCCAGACGATTTTTGGCTTTAATCAGCATGTCCATATTCAATTTTGTCAAGTCTTCTGATATGAACACAGGATTGCTACTGCCTAGTGTTGAGCGTCCGTACAAGAAAGAATTTCGCTCAGAACGAGCACAAAATTTAAC